TTTTGTTAATATATTTAAATATTCTTTTATTTACAAAAGTTTAAGGTATTTTTTTTAAACTTTAATTAAATATATTATTTACAACATAATTTGTATATTTAACAATAATAAATGTAAAACTTACTTTAAAAAAGTGGTACTTTTACAATGTTTTAAGAACATTTATGCGTTATTTTATAGTATATACTACAGTTTTTTGGTAATATCAGATAATAACCAATTTTTTTTTCAGACAAACGTTCCTTTTAACGATATAATAACAAAATTTGGACTCTCCGACAAACCCTTTTTAATTGCTGAGTATATGAATACTTTGTCATACCAAAATGTGTTTTTTTATAATGTTTTGTTCATTTTTTAGTCTAAGGGCCAATTTTTTATCCCCTAGTTAGGATTAACTACTCCGTTGTTTTATTATTTATAAATATAGTTTATACATTGTTTTGTTCATTTGTTCCCATGGAGTTTCAAATAAAATTTATTTTCTCTAATTTTTTTTTATTCAACCTGGCTATAACCCCTATAACCACTTTAATTTAATCAATTGCTGAGTAATTGTAACACTTTTTAAAGTTGAAAGAACACCATTTTAAGTAAATTTAACTAAAAATTTATTTGTATTTAATTAGGTTTTAAATCAAAATATATTAAAATGTTACTCAAATTTGACTAGAATTCACTCAAAAGTTGATTAAAATTTACTAAAAATGTTTAAGACTAGTATATTTAAATCAAAATGTATTACAATTTTACTCAAATATGACTAGAATTTACTCAAAATTTGTAGGACTTTAGTACGTAATTTGATGAACATATTCACTCAAAAAGAAAATAGTTTACTAAAACACACTGAGTTAAAAAAATTAATCAATTTGGTGTGGACCTAGATTAAATACATTTTGATTTAATTTTGAGTAAAATTTTACTCAAAATTTTTTACTGTGCAGCTGTTGGGAAAGTTACCCTATTTTTGTATGGATGTTGCTCTAGACAAATATTTAATTTAAATCATTTTTGGATAATAAAAAGTATTAATCAAACACTTAAACACTCGCTCGCAAGCTCGCTCGTGACTAAAATGGAGTTTATAAAACTTGACACATAATATACTAATATCCTAATAACTATAAAAGTTCCTTTTGCACCCTGTATTGAAGGGGTTTATATCGAAAATCATCATGATAATTCGCCAGAATCCAGTTAATTGGAGCATAAACAAGCAGTTTAACCCTTTCAAATCTCAGCAGATTTAACTACGATCTGTGCAAACTTGGGGGAAGTCTTCAAACAATATGACACTTGTTAATTGGCGAAGAAGTTAACCCTTTCGCCGGGCATCTCGACGAAGAGAGCAACAAGTGGAGAGCAAGGGTTGAAAACGCAAATTTGATGAAGCTGAAGGCGGTTTTCGGACTAATTACCGCCAAGCGGCAGAAATTAAGGGGGATTATTAACAGTTGGCGGCGGGAAATGAGTTTTTTAATTTTTAATTTCGTAATTGAGCTTCCTTTAAGGATAATTTTATGACGCTTTGTAACACTTGTTTTAATTGAATTAGACGTCGCGAGGTTGATTACATTAGACGTAATTACGTCGGATTTTTACTGAAATTCTTAAGCAGATGTCGGGGAATCGGAAAAATCTCGACCACAAGCAATCAAAGGTGCAACTGTTAATAAATTAACATTCCTCATGATAATATTGTTATAGAAGAATTTAATTCTCTCTGGGGTTATAAGGTTCAAATGGTTTTCTGGTCTACTTGATATGCAGCCTTGAAATGAAATTATTAATCGAGTTTGTTTAATGGTAAATTGGTGATGGAATATTAGATTATTCTCTTGCTATATAATTGTGAATTATTTGTAGTCTGCTAACACCATTAACACCTGTTGTGGGTATTTTTCGGGATTTAAGATGTAAAATAAAAATCTTTGTGTAAATGATAGTGATTAGTCTTATATCCAGGTATATGGCGCCGTGAGTTCCTATTAAGTAATTAATCTAGGCAATATCAGACGGTTTTATGGTCCTACCCTTTATTATTAACTTAATTGAAGCATTCGAATATTTAACAAAATAATCAAGTTTATATTCTGAATATCTTTCCTTTAATCATATCACGTGCCACGAAGCAAATTCAAATTGAATTCGACGTATTCCGAATTCCAAATTAGGGATCCTTTTTATATCGGAAAAAGCGAAATCGATAATTTTAAACCCGCGGGTTGTTTTTTAAGTGCGTGGAGGGTGCGTGACTCATTTTTTTCCTCCCCAATTCCTTATTAGGGGGTGGCAGGATAACTGCACATAAAAAATGCAACCCTCCGCAAGAAAAAACAGCATTGAAAGGACGTTAAAGAGAACGAAAAGCAAATTAATTTATGTGTGGAGGGGGAGTTTTAAAGATAATGGCATATTGCATTTGTGTCACATTTGATTTACCAGTTTAATATCAAAGGAAAGAGGCGAGCTTTTGTCTAGATTCAATTAAGAGACGCTTCTTAGAAATACCTTGATAAATTTTAGATTAAAGAGAGTTTAATGTTTCGAATTTGATTTATGACTCATTTCGTCCTTTTGATTAAGAGGAGCTATATCAGTTACCATAAATGAATGAATGGTAATTTTTAAATTAATATCAATTAGATCTTAGGTCTTTCATTTTCCTCTTGGTTTCGAAGGACCAATTCTTTTTTGTCATAAGTTATACTATTAGTACAAATTTCGACCCTAAAATGACTTTCTAGCTAGATTCTATTGGGAAAACCAAACTAGGTACAGTTCATTTTTTTATCTGGAATCGTGTTTTTTTGTTAGGTTGCCAGTTTGACTTAGTATTTTTAGTATTTAAAAATGGTACTTCTGCTAAAGAATTTAATTAAATAATTTGACACTGTCAAATTGACAATAATATTTATTATTGATAATTTACTTGTCGATTATAAATAAAAAGATAATTATGCCAAAAATTATAGCAACGAATTCGAATGTAAAAGCCCTTTTGAGGGCAAAACTTTATTTTGATGAAATTATGCCAAATGCCACAATGGAATAAAAAGTACATCGCCTTATGGACATTTTTGGAGTAAAAAAGTAACGAATTTGGTTTTATAAATATTACATCACACATTATTTTCACATTATTCACAACATTAACGTTCACAAAAAATTTTAATTTCTTTTATATAAATTTTCAAAGCGAAGATTATTATCCGCTAGGAATACTTTCTCTTCTGGGCCGTAAAGCAACCTATATTTAACTACTTTTTTTATATGATTTTACACCACCAAAGACAAATTAATTGCATTTTTAACTACGAATTTCGACAACTCAACTTGACAACTGCACAATCTAACCTACAATAATTTATACATAAACACAATTAGATTTATAACTAGCTTAGTTTGTTTTAATCAATGCGACCAACTTGACAACTGTATTTACCAACCAAAACCCTAAATTTGCAACGTTGCCGCAGTCTAGATAAAAAAAAGAACTTTAATAATTTGTAAGAGATGTAACGCTCATGGATTGTGGTTTAGTCTATCAAGAAACTGGATATTAAAGAGTTTTACAAGCATTCATAATAATTTTTTTCTACTCATTTATGGTATTTTATCTATTTTGCAAAAAATTTATAAAAAAAATAATTTTAATAAGGGCGTGGGCCTTTATCGTACATGTTTCCATGACACTAAGTCACCTTTTAAATAAACATTGACAAGTTGTGGCTTTATGGCGCTTTAGTCACGGGCTGAAGTTAGCAACAGGTTTTTAGTCACGGGTTGAAGTTAGCTTTAAGTTAGTTTACAGTTGTCAAATATCATACAATCTTGTAAATAAAGTGCCCTTCTTGTGAAATAATACTAAATGTGAAAATTATTTTATTATCTCAATACAAAAATATATAAGTATTAAATAGATTCTCAACGTCAATATTTAAAAAGTTTAAATGCACGTTGAGATTTAACTGATTAACCATTGAAAATATCGGGTGGGGTGGAGTGCCCATAAAACATTATCTTCAGTTTCGCTGTGAAAAACTGTTTCTATATCAGACTTGATCGGTGGTTAGTCCATTTTCAAGGGATACATTTTTATTTACACATAAAAATTTGACGTTTTGACAGTTGCGCCGGTAATACAGATTCCCAAGTTACCAACTTGAACTTAGAATGGCTACCCTATAGTTTTATATATGTCGCTGTATATTTAATTTAAATATTTAATTTAAATCATTTTTAGATAATAATACATATTTCTCGTAGAAAAAGTCGTTTATAAACTCATTTAATTAAACACTCGCTTGCAAGCTCGCGTGACTAAAATGGTGTTTATCAAAATCAAAATTTGAACTAAAAAATCTTAGTAATTAATATATGAACGACAACAATTTTTTTCCTCGAATTCATTGCATAAAACTATAGTATACTTTATAAATACGTCCAAAAATAAACAAAAAGTTAAATTTTGTACTTGTACATAAACTACAACTAAGTTGTCATAACTTTGGTACTTATCCATGGATTTTTTTCGTAAATACCTTGTTTTTAGACAAAAGTCTGAACTCTTTATACATAATTCAAAAATGGACATGTTTTGGTATTTTTTATTCGTTCTTTGCTTAAAGGTAAATTTTGCATTTTTATTTTTGTAAAAAAAAACTGATTGAGCATTAAGAGAGTATTATTATGTCGGCTATTATGTTTAGTTTGACGCCTTTTGCAACCAGGTTGACCGTTTTTAAGTCGAGATATGTCTTAAATTGAAAAGCTACATTCGAAAAACAAATTAAAAAAATTAAAAAAAAAAGTACTGTGATTTTTGAGTTTAACAGACCATTGTACCGGATATGAAAAACTAATCATGATACTACTAATAGCAAAATATTTATAACAAGTACTTGAGAAACCTAACATATCTTCTTTATTTAATGGTGCAATATATCTGTGATCTTTGACCCATGTGCTTAAAAAATTAATTAATAAAAAACTACTGACCTTTGCCATTGCGGCCAGAATCGGTCCATAGTCACATTGTGAAGATTCGTACGCTGAAATGACGAAAAAAATACAGTCAATTTTTTACTTTTTACTAAGAGTTGAGTTAGCTTAATTTTTTAAGCACGTCAGGGTCGCAGTAACCTCAGACACATGATACATATCTATCTAAAACATGCAAGCCTACATAAATTTTAAACTACTGAAATATGAATTAAACATTTGTCTTCACAAATCGTTAGGATTAGTTTGGAATCAAAATATTTAACAAATATGTAAATTGGGCATAGAAAAAAATGTAAACTGAGGGTGTAAAGTGGGAGAGACTCAGGCATCCTCATTTGAATATAAAGAAATGCAGTCCATTGAGTTTAAAACCTTAAATCTCGGGCCACAAAAAAGAGCACAGTTCAGAATTGAAAAGGATTTAATGTGAAAACTTTAAATTTATGACTACAGAACAATGATACCAGTTTTTATAGAGTTAAATTATTGGTTAAGTTTGGTCATTTAAAGCAGCCTTCGCTAACTAAGTTATACACATTTCTAGATAGTCGGTTCTTCGTTTTACCGCTGTAAAATCGCCTACGACCGCTTTTTTCCAACCGAACCCACCAGCTTTTTCCCCGTGTTGTTTACCTTAAAAACGCATTTTACTGCCCAACTAACTTTTAATTAAATCGGCCATATTTTCCTCGGTCTCCATTCTTGACAGAAGTTAAATTATTTGTTTGTAACACCATCCATCGTCAGCCTTAGGAGGCTTCAAATTGGCTATAATAATATTTCTCATTTCTGAACATACAGGGTGTTATGTAATTAATGTTATATATTAAAATACTGAATACCTTTTGACATAAGGAATAAAGGAAAAACATTTAAAAAAACATTTTTCCAAAGATAAAGAAAAAATATGCATTAGAAGTTTTTTATATTTTTTGTGATACGCCACTGGTTACACACTTGTTTATCTCTGCACACCTGTATTTTGTGAGTACATAGATACCAACCAACAAAGTAGCTATGCGTTGCCAGATGTAAAAAATTGTTACTAAAAATTTTTCTTGCAAAAAATAAATAAAAACTCAATAAATACAAAAGTTTTATGCCCTTAAAGCTCTAATACACTTCTGTATTTATTTACTGATCCAGCTATTAGCTTAAGCAATGATTAGAAAATTTAGTACCTTTGAAATTTGAAATCCATAACCACAAAATTAATTTTTTCATCAGTTTTTTTCTCTGTTTACTCAGATGAAATTGGGACCAGTTCACAGGTTAAACTTTAAACATTTAATTTGTGTAAATAAATCCAAAAGCACTAAGATATTTACAATTTGAAAACATAACCTAAAATTTAAAAGAAATGCACTAGATTCTGTCATAAAAGTTGGCAGATTTTGTTTGAATTTACCTTCAGTACAAAAATGAAATAACCAACAATTAATAAAAACGCCAAATTGACAATTTGCATTGTTAATTTTGTCATTTTTGTAATTAAGCTAAATTTAAACAATGTTTGTCAACTTTTTTAAGAGATTTTGGAAACACTGGTTACCAACCATAACATAATAAATCCACCAGATTAACCTAAAGTTCCTAGTCGATCAGTGGCGTACTTTTTGGTAGGATAAAGGTTATTATAAATTATTTTTTGACTTTGGAATTTAGAAAAAAAAGTTTCAGGTGCTTCTTTATGGACCCTAAGGAACAACCCATTTTAATATATAACATTAATTACATAACACCCTGTATAATTTTATAATTGGAGCATTGAAAGTTTATTTGGGCCTCCCTGTGTTCTAGAAACGCTAAATCAATCATAATTTGGAGTACATTTTATGAAAAACAAGCCCCGCAACTGCTAATTCCTTGATTGATGAAGATTTGTTGTGGAAAATAAGCTTCGGTATCAAAACATATCGACTCGAGTAATGACGCAATTTATCAGGGAAAAACTTATTGAAATTCAGCGTTCGTGAGCCCAAAACGTGCCGGATGTGGATATTTGTTCAGGTTAGTGCAAAAGGGGGTGTACCTTTTGTACCTCGGCTAATTTGTTACCGCCGCAGCCATCAGGTAGATGCAAGAATGAACAGATAGTATACTACTTGCCCACGCGAAAAATTAGACCATTCACATATAAAATCCAAAACTAAAATCAATTTTTCAAAATAATAATTCATCATAACTGTCATTTCTTTCTTTCAATTTACCAGCTTTGTTGTAGATTGCAATTTGTGGTCTTAAATCCCGTTCGTGGAACGTCTTTGTCTCTCCGTTGGGCTTTAAGAATCTGACACTTATCAATCCCATTGGGAACAAACTCTCATTTCCGAAAATAATTTTTAAAGAATCGATTGGTGCGTTATGTGTTACTGTGTATGAAATTTAGGTGAATAAGATCGAATTCCATCATGCTCTTGCTACCTGAGCGTCTACAATGCACCGAGGCCACAAAAGAAGTATAAGGAAATCCCTGCTTTGTCAAAGTTACCTGGCAACAAATCCAATATTGTCGCTGCTGCTTAAAAAAATCGCCGGTGTCTTTAATATATACTCCTCAGTTAATTGTATTTTTTAAGCTTAAGTCTGCTTTTAATCTCCACGACCACACAACTTTGAAAGAGAACAACAATGTTTTTCATGTTCATATTGTCTTAGCTTATCTTCAGATTAATCAAAGTCTGGTAGCAAAAATTGAATATTTTTTTTATCTATAAGATAAACGAACACCCACCTCAAATAAAACACTGTCACACGATCCTTTTTTGCCTATTCAAAACGGCCTATATGCACGTGGTGAATTTTTATGCTTTATGATAATGAATCGAGCAAAGATGGAAAAGGGTCTCCGGACTCCTACAAATGCTGACAGATGATTTATCAATATTTTATATACAATCGCTACAGCTGATCATTATCTTAAGAATTGAATTAATTGTGTTAAACGTGAATATCATCATATTTTTCTTAATGAAAGATACTGGGGATGACAACTGGTTCCTCGGTATCAACAGGATACAATTCTAAATATGTGGATAACATGTTTCCACTATTATTAATATTATAAATATGTTTAGTCAGGGCTCTCTTTTTCTAACCTCCAGTGTGTGTCATATTTTACAGTTATTCTAATTACAACTTATTGCTGATTACTTTCTCGATGAAAAATAAACGGAGCTTGTTTTATGTGTTAATCAATCAATCGAGTAAAACTGCTCGCGGCATTGACAGTTCAACAGCAGCATTATCTGGTTGCTTAACTAACCGGATGATCTAATCACCATCAAAGCGGAAATACTGTCTTAACAATTTAGCTGCCGAATTAATACGTACACTCCATTGGCCAAGTATCATCTACTCTCTGCTCTCTACTTAGCCTGATTAAATATGATGGAAAACAAACTCGTATCATCGCTCGCTAACGCCGTCAAGTAACCATGAAATTGTCACCAGAGGAAATTGGACTTGTTATGTGCATACCTACAAGAAATCTCTGCCATTTGCTTTTGATTATCAGGACAATTGCTGAATTAAATTAAATATAGTACACAGTAAAAAAGTTTGCCCGTGTAAATTTTTTAGTGTAGGGGTAAAAATATTAGAGTTGATTTGTAAGCGTAAAAGTTACACTACAAAATACACTAGGTAGCATTTAGTGCTTATTAACTTTATTTAACACATTTAAAGAATATGAACATTATTCATTGGTACATTCACACTATTTATTATTAAAATAAATCAAAAGGGTAGAAAAACTTAATGCGAGTGTTTAATGTGTTAAATAGTGACAAAATGTACACTAAAGTGCATGCCACTTTCTTTGTCTGTTTTGTTACAAAGAGCTCTTTTTTCTTTACACTACTAGTGCACATTGTATCACAATTAAAGTTAAATTACACCAATAGTGGCAAAATAGACTGAAAAAAATAATAATAACCGAAATGCGTTTTAAAATATTTGGTTGGTACCTGTCTACCTACGCAGTGCATATCCGGAGATACCGCGTTGTGGAAGTGTGGCATTTTTGTTCAGTTAGATTTTAATTACGGTGAATCCATGGTAAGTATTATACTTCGTTTTTCTTTAAGCCTTAATACTCAATAAATACCAATATGTTAAAAGGATGTCTATACCCGACCTATATTATATATCAATAATTTACTGCAGTAGGTCGGGTACTTGTAACATTAATAATATAAATACATACTCACTTGATTTACTTTTTATTTTCAAGCGTAATGGTTGTTATATTAACATATACCTACATTTTTATTAATATTATGGAAAATTTGTACACGTGTGGTAAATCCCCGACATACAGCCGCCTGACGCCTCTCTACCAATGGGATCACTCATTTTTTATAACAGAAAAATGGATTACTGATGATAATACATTGCTTACAAGTTGACAGCCAGTAAAACATTGCATTGATCTAAAACTTTTACGTTTTAAGGAACCATTTTGCTTAAGCCAGCCATACGACTCAAATATAACATTATATTTTAAAAGGCACCGATTTTGATAATTGTCATAGATTTTTGTTCCAAATAAATGTTTCTCTTTATTTATCATTTCGTTTTATTCACTACCACCAATAGGTTTTACTCAAATAATAGTGTTAATTTACACTACAAGTTTGCACTAAAAGAGTAAAAGTACCTTTCTAAAATTAGAACTTTTCCAAAGTAGTGTTAATTTACACTGAATAAAAGTGGGATTTTACCCAGGAAGTGTAGAAGTACACGATTTTAGGTAAATTAACACTTTTTAATACAGTGTAATATTACTTTATCCTCAGTGCTAAAGTGTTAAATTATATTTGCTTACTTGGGGAAAATTACACTACAAATTAACTCTAGTTGTAGTGTTATAAAACAACACTATTTAGTGTGGACCTGTGTGAACTCTAATTAATGTTGCTTAGAATTGATTTTTTTTACTGTGTATAAGAGACCCAAGTCATAGATCTATGACAAATGCCATGGTATTTTGGCTTGTTATCATTTTCATTTCTTCTCAATTAAGATCGAGATCATTTTGGCTTGTGATAATTCAAGCTTGTCACCATTTTATGTGGTCTTTATTTTAGCTTATCATCATCTAGACTTATTGTCATGATCATTTAGTAGTTTTATTATGTTTACACACATTCGAACATCCTGACAAAATACACTTGGACAATTACGGCCGTTAACTTGGACTTAACTTGACCAAATTAAAATTCCTGGCCCAAAACATATTAATAAAGCTGAAGTGAGAATTTATCGTTTCCTTAAAATCTGTGTGTGTAATTTGTTTCGTCTTGTGGTCACCCCAGACGAGTTTGTGGACGTAAGATTAGTAAAACCGAATGAATTTGCATAAATGAATTTGAATTAAACAAATTTTAACACCTGAACGGGCTCGAGGCTCGTTGAGCATTTGCATATTCACAATAAAATTAACTTTAAGACCCATTTCAATTAATTTAAATAAACATACGTACAGATAATATATTGTTCAATAAAATTTAACTACGCTTATTAACTAACAATTGTTTGGTAGTTTTTAACTGCTCTAAGGGTTTAGTGGGTTTACATAACTGGCATTTCTGAATGAAATTATTCGATTCTTAATTATAGGCAAGAATTTTAAGAATTTAATGACACGCCAGTTGGCATTTAATTTATTATCCAGTTTTTAATATTAACAGGAAATAAGACACTTACTTCAGATGGTACTCTGGTTATTTATTACGCAGCAATTAATCCGTAATTATAACATTTTTGCCTACGATTTAAATTTATCGATTTAGTTATGTTTTACATTCGAAATCAATATGAAAATTATTGGAATTGCTAGAATTGTCGAGTATAGAATTCTTCGGACTGTCTCAAGGATGCCTTCCTGGACCGTTCTCTGTTAAAGGTTTTAAAGGAATGTTCATTATACCGGGGGTATACCTATTTAGTCATTTTAGGTTGTGATTGCTTTAACTTGTCCTTATTGTAGCTAGTCATGATTTTGGCTTGTCCTCATCTAAGTCTAATGAGAGATCATGAAGATTATACATGGAAAAAAATGTTTTCTAAATGTAAAAATACCTTTATTCTTAAAAAATTCCCTTGATTTAAGTATAATTTGCTTAGGCTACGAATACATTAAATTTCTTTTAAATATTAACCTACCTATCTTTAAATTAAAAAGATTTTATTTCTTAGCTTAAAATGAAGTACAGTTGAAACAAGATGATTATCTAATATTGTCAAGGCTAAAACTAACATTAAACTAAATTTTAATCTTTTTTTAAACAGGCAGATCTTATTCTTGCCTGTTAAATGAAGACTTTAAATGAAATGGTCTTATTCTTAATTTAAGACTAACAATCGATTGGACCAAATTTTGGAAAATTCCCTCTATTTTTTTCTTAAAGATATAAAACTATACTGGATATAAATATAATTATATATAAGATTAGTAAATATTGGTACGACTGGCCTATTCTTAAAAATATGAGTATAGTGTTATGTGTATTTTAGATGTTGGAGTGATATTAGATTAGCCGAAGAATCACATAAAAAACAATTATATATATTTTACCTCTAGAATAAATAAATTCTTATATATCTATACTTGCGGAATGGTGCGATGAACATATCCTTGGAATGATATACTTAATCTTTAATATAGAATAGCTTTTTTCTGTGTAACCCTTCAAATGCTAAAAAATGAGCATCAGGAGAAGACTGGAGAAGTGTTTTGAAGACATTTAAAAGCATATAGCTTCAAAATTTGAGGTGACATTTTTTAATCACCCTGTATCTTGTGGTCCAAAGAATTCTTAATTGTTAAGTTACCATAGTGTATCTTTTGGTCATTCCCTGGTGTATTACATAGGCAGATGTATGTAGCTTGAAGCAAATCTATTGATTGATCAAAGCTCCTAATCACTTTGTTTTCCACCCTTTTTGCCGGGGGCGGAAAAATGTTTATCGAGAACGTGGAAACTTCATGCCAGATTGGACACGAATGTGGATGTGTGCCCGACATCGAAACTTTTGCCATTTTTAATATGATGGGGTTCTGCTCCAAAGCCGTTTTCAGAGGCAAAACGAGATTAAAATGCATCGGGGACGGGGAAAAACCGTCACGTGTTGCAGACAACAATTCGATTTCTGCAGCAGGAAATTTCACATTCGATGCAAGTTTAATTTTAATTTAATCCAAAAGTTTGTCAAAGCAGTAAAAATATATTTGATGACTAAAGTTTTTATGACAGATTCATCTTTGCGTCTACTATTGGTAGTTTATTACCTGTTTATTTCCAAGAATGGACCCATTTTTAGAAGTTAAATAATTAGTTTTACTACGTTAATGTTTATGAAAACATTTCACAAACAGAAAAAAACAAACAATAAAACCTAAACGGCAGGTAAAAATGTGGAATATTTACGAGACGTTCTGAAGTTTCGTCGAGATTTATATTATAATGATTTTTAATTACAGATTGTTGCTAATTACTAAACTAATACATTCAAGGTTCAAGGTTCCTACACAGACAATTAAAATAATTAAAAGGCTTTTAAATATTAATAAGTCGTTCTGCGATTTAAAATCACATAACTTTAGGCTCGTGTATTATCAGTAAGTAGAGATGTGACTTGAAAAAAACGGTCCGTTTTTTTCAGGTTTTTTTCATATTTTAGGTTTTTTTTCAAGTTGAGTCCCATTTGCCCAATTTTTATGTTTCCAGCCCAGTTCATGGACCAAAATTAGCCACTAAATGACATTTAGTAAATTTATTAAAAACAGTCTCGCGCTTTGCACGCGCCACCACCACCGAATTAACCAATAAGGGCCGCGCTTGTTTTGATTTGGTCCTAAAAAAAGTAACTACCTATAATATTTTTGATTCAGCGCTTGTTTTTTCAAAAAGCTACCAAAAGCACTATTTTCATGATTTTTCAAATTCATGTAGAGTATGGAATTAAAAAAAAAAAACAATAGCCAATTCTTGTAGAACATTCCGTGGACCAAAAAATAAAGCCAAAAAAATTTCGATTTTTTTTATTACGGAGCGTTGCACGTTTTTCATCTAAAAATCTCTAAACTAGAAACTAAGCTTCAAATTGCTTTTTTTACGGCTCCAATACGACCATTTTTAACAAAGATACTGCTATCCGAAAAATCTCAAAAAATTTGGAATTTTTTTTATCCTTTAATTTTTTCTATTAGTGTAGAAGTTTTACATTGCTATTGGTTTCTTATGTGGAAACTACCAAATAATAAGAAATCAGATTTTTTAGTTTCGGTCAAAATTTTCAATAATGAAAAATGTAATATATTCACTTTATTATTAATATACATTAGGGTGGTCGTTAAAAATTAAATCTTTTGCGACGCCCCCTAAAAAGCTTCGTTTTGATAAAAAAACACTGGGATTTTTTTTTTTAATTAAAAACAAACAATGTCTTTTCTGAAAATATGGAAGAAAATTTTTTTCAGATTTAAAAATAATTATTATTAACAATGAAATAACTTCACCTTGGAGTGAAGAAATCTAGATATTAAAATTACGTTTGTTCTAATTTAATTTTAAAATAAAAATATCAATTTGAATATCTTGAATTTTTTTATTTAAAAGACCAAATCAACTGGGAAAAATTTTAATTTTTGTCTATTGTTATTTTAATTGACTATTGCTTTTTTATTGATTTGGGTTCTATAATTGTTTATATCTAAATAAAATTTTATTTTTCATAAAAAATTCCCAAAAAGATGATTATACCAAAAAATTAACTTAGACCGTCTTGAGGCACGTGTTGATTTTAATTAAAAAAAAAAAAAAAATTTCAGTGTTTTTTAATCAAATAGAAGCTTTTTAGGGGGCGTCGCAAATTATTGTAGCGCTCGGATTTGAAAAAAAACAAAAAAAAAACAATTTTTTCTAGTTTTTTTCATGTTTTTTTTCACATAAAAAAAACCGTTTTTTACATTTCTATCAGTAAGTAATTTGAAGAGGTTTTTCGGCACCCTCATCATAAGCATTATTAGTTTTCGGCGCTGCGGCCAACTTTATTAAAATTTTAACGCGTCGGGGAAATCTCCATGTTGGGGGAGAGATGGGGGTTCAATTTGGAGCTACTCATATGTCAATGTATGCAGGATCAGGATAAGAGTAAGGAAAGTGGCAGCCCTGCGATACGGTGGCAAAAATCCCGCGCATACGTCGCGAGGGATAAAAAGAAGCCGAAATTCATTACATGCATGGCTTCGTTGGGAGATTGTGTTTTTTCTGCGTCTTCCGCCTCCAGCTTCAGATTACGGCTACGTTAGAAATCTTAACGGTATTCCCCGGCAATATTCTGCTGCTGTTCGTGTATCTTAAATTTAAATTTTCCACTGCAGCTTCCAGCTTCGACATTTATATTAAAAACATAATAAAATTTCTGCGCGCTACCAACGAAATGAAAGTTTAATTTTAATATTAAATTTGTTTTGTTTCCCTTTATATACCGAATTTAATATCAAATATCATATGTTAAACTTTAAATTACATACATTCATGTATACTTTCTTATAACATAAAATACAGTAGGTAGGTACCAAAACCAAAATGGTTATAAATAAATTTATAATAATCCTATTTTGTGTTAGTTTTTATATTTTTTAAAAATAAAATAAGATTATTAATTGTTTCGACCTTTACTTGATGAAACTCCATATTAACTATGTAGATATAAAAACAATTTTGTTGTAAAGTTTCACGAAATTTATTAAATTTGACAGCTGTTTCGCTACACTGTAGCTTCTTCAGAATTAATTTCCTATATTATAAATGATTTAAACCATCTTCCTCTTAAAAAAAATTGTCGTTGTTTAATAAAGAAGTAGGTACATGTTTGCATGTTACTAAGTGACCTTTTAAATGCACATTGACAAGTTGTGGCTTTATGACACTTTAGTCACGAGCTGAAGTTAGCAACGTGTTTTTAGTCACGGGTTGAACTTAGTTTTAAGTTAGTTGACAGTTGTCAAATGTTATACAATCGTTAAAATAAAGTGCCTTTCTTGTAAAATAATACTAAATTTGAAAATTATTTTAGATTCCCAAGTTAGAAATTCGAACAGGAATTCCAATAAATACAACAGTTACTGTCAATTTTTGTACCCTTAACATTTCCCGTGTAAGAATTTTTAATACTTTGTAATTATATTTTACAATTATAGTAATAAAAAAATAAAAGGATAAAATATTTTCTTAACATAATCATATTTTAAAGTTATATAAAAAATTTTAAAGAATAATTGTTAAGTTTAATTAAATAATAACGGGCAATGTTAATGGTGCAAATTACGTTAAAAATGTTTATTGGGATGGTTACTTTATTTTTGTAAAGATGTGGCTTTATAAAAATATTTCATTTAAATATTTTTTAGATAATATTAAGTATTTGTCGTAGAAAAAGTATAGTATGCAACTCATTTATAGACTTTTCTAGGTACTCATTTAATTAAGGACTCGCTCGCAAGCTCGCTTGTGCCTAAATTAAATTCTTGACTAAAATGCCATTTATCAAACTTGATATTATATAATTTACTATTATGAAATGAATTGCATACTCTACTTTATCAAATCAAATATAAAGTTATACATCTGACAGCTGTCAAGCTTTTTCCCAATCTGACATCTGTAAAACGGTTTTAACCTCACTTTTCCCCAATTTTAACTTAAAACTAACTTTACCTCGTACTTTAAAAATTGTTTCTACTTCTATGCATAATATAGACCATAATTGGTAAAAATATATAATAATAAACCAAAACAGACTAAAAATAATTTTTTTCAAAAAATGTTCACTCCAAAATTTTCAGAGAAATCAAAATACCACATTGACCAAAAATGAAATTTTCTGAGAATTGTAACCCCATCCCCGTGACTAAAATGTCATAAAGTTACAGGTCCTTAACGTAGGAGTAGTTAATAGTATATTATGTATCAAGTTTTATAAACGACATTTTAGTTACGAGTTTTATTAGGCACGAGCGAAGCTTGCGAGCGAGTGTTTAATAAAAACTATACTATACTTTATCTACGACGAACAGAAATAAGAGAATTTTATTTCATAAAATTTGGCATTTAACCAATTTAACCTCACTTTTTCGCAATTTATAATAAAGCTAACATCAGCCCGTGACTAAAATGCCCAAAAGCCACTGTTATAAACTTCAGCCCATGACTAAAATGTCATAAAGTCACAACTCGTCAATGTAGGAGTAGATAAAAGTATATTATATATCAAGTTTGATACACGCCATTTTAAGAGCGAATTTTAATTAGGCACGTACGAGTGTTTATTTAAATGAGTGTCTAGAAAAGTTTATAAACGAGCCGCATACTATACTTTTTCCACGAAAAATTCCTATTATTATCTAAAAATAATTGAAATTAAATATTTGTATAGAGCGACATCTAGAAAACAATAGAGTAGCCATCCTTGGGAATTTGTTGAAAATGGCAAATTTTATGTATAATTTGATATGTATCCCTTGAAATTGGACTAACAACCATTTAAATACGACATATAAGCAGTTTTTTACAGTGAAAGTGAAGAAAATGTTTTATGGGCACTTTTTTAAAGTTAAATCTAGTTTACTGCCGGCGAAATTAAAATAAACTGTTTAAATATTGGTGTTGTGAAACTATTTAATACTTTTGTATTGAGATAATAAAATCATTTTCACATTTAGTATTACTTTACAACAAGGGCAACTTATTTTTAGGTATTTATAAATATAGTGGATTAGCTTTTTCTAATAAACTCATTTCTGGGCAATCAGTTGGGTTGACAGTCCAATAGAAAAATATTAATTTTGTTGCGAGGGTGGCTCGTAAAGCACGTCAAATTCGTTTATTAGTGGAGTTTTTCCGTGAAACAGAGATTTTATGTAAAATGTGCCTTGAAGGCAATAAGCCGGCGGAATTATTCGTCGCGATAAGGATCTGGTTGCTTGATCGGGTAGATAGTCAAAAATAAATTATCCGTTTTTCTTGTCAGCAAGCAAAGGGCGATGGCATGTCGAAAAAGAGCAAGTTTTTTGTTGCGCGGGAGCTTACTTAATCATCT